GTTGCCCAGTAGGGGCAGAGAAAGCACTTTAATGAAGAGTTTCAACTCTTGTTTTGCTTTTATTTTCCCCCATGTTGGCCCAGCTAAGCAGAGCACGTGGGGCAGCGGTGTCGGAGGCTGGCGGTGGTCTTACAGGGGTCTCAGGGCGAGGCTCATGGAGACAGGGATGTCCCAGCAGAATTGGACAGGGGATGACGGGGCGGGTGGGGAAAGGCCTGAGGTCAGAGATGGGAGGTCGGGACCTGCCGAGCAGTAGAAGCCACATGTGGGCCCAGGAGCAGGAACAGAGGTCAGCAGGAAGCGAGGAGACCGATGGCCCCCCGGGGCCATGGGACGGAGACGCGGCACTAGCCCCCGTGAGACAGAAGCCGGTGAGCAGGTTTCTCGCGTGTTGCTTTGTTGCTGGTTTGACCACAGTAACACCACGGCTCTTGACTTTGTCGTTAGAGAAGGCGATCTGTTTATTCGGGGCTGTGATGTTCTACCTTGTTCCAAACATTGGCCCATGTCCTCCTAGTGTACAACGCGCATCTTTAAGATGTGCCATCTGGTGGTTTGGCTTGTTCGCAGCTGTCTGACCGTGTTCACAGCCCAAGTCTGAGCATTCCTGCCCCAGGCCCCTTCAGCAGCCACTGCCCGCCCTGCCCTCTCTCCTCCTCCCCCCTCCCCGGCAGACCTGACTTATCTCCTGGTCTCCACCTGCCTGGCCTGGACGTCCATTTCACCGAGCCAGGTCCTTCCTGCCTGCCTCCCTGTCTTTTAGTGTGGCGATTTTGGGGTCCATCCACACTGGGCCTGGGTCGACAGCTACAGCAATCCTCGGGATCCCAGCTCAGCCATGGCAGCGGGCCTTTCTGCTCCGCGGTTGTTTTGGGGTACCCTGCTTCCAGGCGCCTGCTCAGACATCTGTGAGGGGGGTGCACTCCATTCCCCGAAGATAGGCCCCTGGGGCGGAAGGCTGGGCCACGCGGGCACTTAAGGCTGGTACTGGCCCGTCCTGGTCTCTGCGTGTTCTGTTTGGAAGACAGAATATTTCATGAACACGCCCTCTCATTTGTCTCAGTAACTTTTGTTTAGCTATTTCCCTTTTATTGTAGTTAAGTAACATTTGGGTTTTTAAAATAACATTTGGGTTTTTAAACAAACGCTGTCTCCAGTTACCTTGTTTCCGACGACAGAATCCAGGAGTGAGACCTCCCTGGTGGTCCTGCCAGCCCCGGGGTTCAGGCCGGGGTTCAGGCTCCTCGGCCGCAGGCCAGTCAGGACGGCCGTGACTGGGCTGTAGGTAAAGTGGAATTCTCCTCAGCTCTGCTGCTGGGCCGGCGTGGCCTGAGCCGTGGGCTCACTCAGTGCCGAGAGCCCTCACCTGTGAAAGGAGCATCAGAGCCCAGTCTGCGCAGTGGGGGAGCCGGGGGCAGCGGTCAGGCGTCGGCTGGGGGCCCGAGGTCGCGAGCCCTCATCTGTGCGTCCCGGGGGAGGCTGCTGGCTGCCTGATTCTTTGAGGGCGGGTTGGAGAAGAGAGGAGCAGCGCCCGCCATCTTCTCGTGGCTGACCGTGGCAGGTTGCTCTCGGCAAAGCAGGTGGTCGGACCGGCGGGAAGCGTGTCCGGTGGGAGCCCCACCTGCGTCCCCTCGTCAGGGTGATAGAGCCCGACTTCTTCACAGTGAGCAGGATAAAATGCAGCTCTGATCTCGGGAGCTGAGACTCACCCCGGTCGTGCCCGGGAGGAGCGGGATCCCCCGAATGGAAACTCACTCGCAGCCAACTTGAGGTGAAGTAAGCGCGGGAGAAGCTCAGGTTGGCTCCCGGCATCACTGTGACCCGCCCAGGATGCCGCCCCCGCGCCCTGGGGCCAGCTCGCAGTGGCCGCCCTCTCTGCAGCCCTGGGGCCCGGGCGGCCCGGCCCTGGCAGTACCTTAGGGACCGGCAGGATGAAGAGGAAGTGACGTTCAGAAACACACATCGGTCTCAGCGCTCTGGACAGCCACTTAGCAAGTCGGGAGAAAGCGTCTGACCTGCCGTGGAGTCCGGGGGCTCGAGCTGACCGGGGCTGTTCTCGCCTGTCAGGTTCGCAGTTGCTCTCTCCATGACGGTGCCTGCCAACAGGAAAAGCTGCTTACTTTTTTAATTAGGTTGACAGCAGATATTTATCGAACACTACTGATTGCCAGGTGCTGTCCTGGAAGCTCGGGGTACAGCCGTGGGG